TTAGGAAATGCGCACAGACCGTCAACAGTACCCCAACATTGCGAAGAATAGTCTACACCATATATATTATTTTTTCCCCTGATTTTATGGCTATACTTGCAATAATTACCATATTAGAAAATGTGCACAGACCATGTAAATAGTACCCCAACATCATGACCAATAGTGAGTGTCATCCCTATTTTTTTTCAGATTTTATTACTATTTTTCATGTGAAAATGCAAAACCTGCCATATTTGGCAATTTTTAGTGTCCAATCCAGTCACTTCATTCCAGTGCCATTCCATTCTGGGGACTGTTCCGGTGTAAATACTGGAATAATGAAATTCTGAAAATTTAGCTGGTAAATTCCACTGGAATGGCACCAGAATCTACAGGAATGACTGGAATCCAGCAGGAATCAGTGGGGCATGACTAAGACCTCCTCCAATGCTACACTCCAACTCTACGTAAGACTAGTTACTGACATTTGTATTCATAGGAATACACTAATGTAGAGCTGTGCACTCTAACACCCAGGGTAAAACTATTCAGAAACCCCCCTTTCTGGCATCACCTTATCCAGAAACCCTGTATAGTCAGACATCCCCTCCCCGAAAATTTGATGGCTTCGCCGGCATCATGTGATGTCCCACACATTTGTCAGACTCAATGTCAACTTGCTGCCTTCGCCGCACACTGTGAATGACACTCAAATTCTTCAACCCACTATCAACATGTCTGTACATGGAAGGTGGAAAGGTGATGCTTTTCAGCCGCTTGACCGTTGTTTAACATTATTGCACAGTAGGCACCTGGAAAGGGTGGAGCTAAGCACCACCGAAAAATCCTTCATGATAACATCCAAGGTACGTGTCTTCATCATTGTTATTTTTCCATCTATTCACTGGCCGCCCTAGGTATAACAAAACCTATCATTTGTCGTCTTGCTTTCCGTGAAGGTGTGAAGCACATCTCCAGTCTGAGACCCATCTACAAGGAGATGCGTGGTCTTTTGAAAAGTTTCTTGAGTGCGTGAGTCACTTTGCTTGTCGCCTTCACCGTGTCCTGACTAGTGTTGCCACGGCTCGGCTAGCTGAGAGCCGGCTTATGTAAGCCAGCTAAATTTCCTTAAGTGGCTCGGCTCGGCTTTTAGCTGACCCAAAGCTGGCTCAAGCCGGCACATAATTCTCAAAGTGATGTGACTATAAATCTGGGTAAATTAGATGCTGTCTACCTGATAGATACACAGTGTAATGTATATTTCGAGCATAGAACTATAATAGAAACCAAATGATTATGAAAATAAATAAAAATTCGCAAAAAAAAATAGGGGAGGATGTGAGATAGCATAGAAATAGGAGCATGTATGGTTGTCATCTCTTCAGCTCCTTCAAATACGACTAGAATACAATGTAAACGAGCCTTCAGTGAAGAAAAATGGTGGAAAGCTGACTGAGATACAGCTCAATTCCCCCCAAAAGAGAAAATGTAACATATCTCCAGAACGCGGACACCCAAACCTCTCGTCTCTTCGGGACCTTCAAACGACACTAGAATACATTTTAAACGAGCCCTAGATCATAAGAAATGATGGAAATTTGACTGACCTAGGGAACTCACTCCCCAAAACAGAAAATGAACA